ATTCCGAGGAGTACACAATCAATTTAATCCGGCCATCATAACTTTCAACACCCATTCACCACCTGCCTGAATCATAATAGAACCTTCTATTTATTCTGGCTTAAGCCTGGCCATTCCCCCAAAAATGAAGGGCTTCAGTACCAGCAAACACTATTTTATTCCAGTTCTTCCTGGAATAAAAAGCAAGTACTACAAAAAGTAGAGAGGCAGCACAAGACAGATTAGAAAGATCCCTAAAACACAGACAAATTTCTCCTGAAGATTGGGCAAAGCACGCCTAAAAGATTCACCATATATCAGGTCTGTTTCTAGGTTTGGATTAAATCCGGAAGTTTCCTTGCTCTAACTCCCAAGAGGATGCAATAAACCCCCAAGTTCCTTACCAATCCATTCTCTGGATTATCTCTCAAAGTCATTCTTGGCCTATCCCAGTTATCCAACAGAGTGCTTTTGTGCAATTTTGTGAACACAGCAACACACTAGATCATCCTGGCAACATAAAAGAAGCACAACTTAAACTGGCGAACTGTCAGTGGAAAAAAGATGGGTCGACTGCAGGAAGAGGAGAGGAGGTGAAAGAACAAAGCTGAAAGCAAAAGACTCTTTTTGGAGAGCTACTCTAGAGGTATAAGCAGGGACAGATTCTTCTCTCAGCTCTGACTGCTCTAAAATATGCATCAACTGTAGAATTAACAAAGTTCTCAAGCTACCATCTCTAATCTAACTCCTATTGACACAAAATTCCTTTCACCAGTCTGGTTAACTGACTTTCCATTGACTTTCAACAGCCTTTACTGGGATCTCCTAGTGCCTTTCCACAGTCCCATACTCAGTGCTCAAAGAAGCAGGTCACCAGCAGTTCCATGGGAATGGCAGTGTCACAGGACCCCATCCCCAGCAGCCAAGAACTGGGAGACATCTTCCAGCACATGCAGGGAGCAGCAAGGGCACCACTGGTGTGGGCAAATCAATCCACAAGTGATTTTTCAGTTTGATTGTTCCCAACGAAAACAGCTTAATCCAAAGCCCAAATCATTCCCCAAATCATTCGTGCTAACCATGCAGTGAAAAACCTACTGAATAAAGGTTTGTTTTGCTAATACAGCACCACCTTACATTCATCTATAGAACACAATTAATTTCAATGGGGAAATGTTTATAGCAAAACTGGGCAGAAAACAGCACTTACTGCCCAAAGTTTAAATATCACTCAAGAAATATTTGTACTCAAATCCCCAGAATCCGGAGTATGGCTGTAATGGCCCGACAGTGAATTGGAGTCAAAAGAAAATTTACATGGCTTAAGTAAAAATATCAATTGGCTTTGACCTCACTTCAGAAGGGATCACAGAAGTATGCAAAATTTATCAACTGATGCATGTTAACGAGGATTACCTGTGCAAAATTTCTTCAGCCAGTGCAGGAGTGCTAACTTCTGCTTAAAGAAAAAGAAATGGATACTGATGTACTGGCAAACTGGCAAAAAAAAAAAAAAAAAAAAAAAAAAAAAGGGAGCAGAGAAGCTTCAAAACACAAATATCTATCATTCTTTTGTCCTGGTCCTGTCACTGTCCAGGGGCCAGCATAAAAGTACAAGATGAAAACCATTAATTTTAGGCATCATGCAAAAATAATCCAAATCAATTGCCTCCAAGCTCCCCAAAATAAAAAGTGAGCACGTCTGATCAATGACTTTCCATTAAGATGATGAAAAACGGCTGCTGAATTTGCTTAAGGGAACACAGAAGCCCTGCACACACTGCACTGCTCTTTGTTATCTCTAGTTGAAAGACAGTACAGATAAAGAAATCTGCCACATGAAATTTTAAGACTCATCCCAGGTGGCCATTAAAATAACAGAATTTCAAAAATTTAGAGACCAAGCCTATTACAATGTTAGAATTCCCACTTAACATTTCCCAAATTAAAAGTCCTTCCAATAATAACAGAAATTTAAATCTAAAAGCCTGCATTAGTGAGTGCTAGCTCCTTCCAACTGTTTGTTCAGAGACTCTCCAACAAGCATACAGCACACTGTAAGAATTCAATTTGGAAACCATCATCTAAAGCACAGAGGAGAACAGGAAAGTCATATTGCTATAATGCTTAGATTATCAATCATCTTGACAGTTTATTGGCTTTATCACCACACATACCATTAAAATGATGTCTGGCCTAGAATGTCAGGAGGCAAACATTAAACAGACCAGGATTAAAAAGCAGATCCCAAACAGCACTCCAGTAAAGTTTCCCTTCCACTCTGAAATTAGTTAGAGCTGACTAAGTAACCGGCACTAGACTTTGAAGAAATATACAGCCTAAAAGGCGCAGAGTCAACACAGACTTGACGAGCTGATAGGTAATGTCATGTTATGGCAACTCTAAAGCTCCTGCCGTTGATTTATCACGTACTGTGTGCAACAGAATGATTGCTAATGGAGGGAGGGGGGGAGCAAAACAACAACAGCTTAATTTGATGCTTCTTAGAGCCAAGGGCTTGAGTCAAAAGGGTCAAATGAACTCTTTGAAGTCAAGGAGCAATGTGGTTTTATATCAATTTTGTAATTATCAAACACAAATAAAAAAATAACATTTTTACAGAAAAGTAATTTTACAAATTAGGAAAATCTAACAGTAACAAAATATATTCAGAATTCAGTTGTAACAGGTAACTAAAGAGACAAATCCTGAGCTTTTAAAGCATAGCTCTGTGTGTTAGGCTGCTAACTAAATCCTAACACAACTAAAATTGTGGATCAACAGGATGCAATTGAGAACTGTCATTTGTTCAGAACCATACCTCCACATGCTCAGGAACATGCAAGCAGGGAGTAACGGATAATTAAACATAACTCCCCTTTTCTCCAATGCCCCACCTTAAAAAAAATCTGATATTTCTACAGATTATTTTACTTCCTGTTTCCTCCTTCTTTTTGTCTTCATTTTCCCCCAAAATGCAATGGCATTTGCATTGTCTTCCTATTTGATTTAGAATAAATATGTCAGTTTTAAATTACAAATAAGTTAATGGTTTTGGTTGGCATGTCCAACCAAAAGAACCAGTCAAATAATTGGGTCACAGTATCTGCTGAAAATATACTGTTTATATACCTTCTTATGTCAGTCAAAACCAACATGCACATACCCATCTCAATTTTAAACAAATTTATCTCTCATCACACACATTGCTTAAAGGAGTACTTCTACGTCTGAGAAAGATGTTGGAACATTTACTTTTTGCCAAATACTAAGTGTTTGTTGCTTGAGCACTGAAGCTTTAATATTTAGATCCCCTTGCAAGTAAGATTCAACTCTGTAATTATTATTTTACAGTCCACACTCATATTTTGAGGGACTGAAGCGGTCTTTTTCAGTACATGCTGCTCTTTCTTAATTAAGACAGCTAAATGAAATTCTAACTTAAGAAAAAGTGCTGACTTCATACTTGATAAACCATGGCAGCAATTTGTAGTAAAAATCACTCTTATCCTTAACTGTGACATTTACTATGTACTGGCTCACACAAGAATTTCAGTAAGGTCAGAGCCACAGTAGAAGTCTCTCTGAGCTGAATTTTAAAATACAGGTAAAAACATCTAGAACTGTTATCTGGCAGAACTGTACGAAACACACACAATTCCATAAACGGGATTGAAGAGGAAGAAGACCAAATATTTAGCTATCTCCTAAGACCTGAACACTTCTCACCAACCTCTAAATAGCCCAGGTGGAAATCCTGATCAACCGAGAGGATATGCTTAATTAGAAACCTTAAGAGGAATCCCTTTGTTGCCTCCAAATATCACACTGAGGCTGAGAAGCAAAGCTTGGGACTGATCTAACCATAGAACCATTTCCAACAAAGGGAAGTTTAGATGCTAAATGTACTATTGGAAGGCCAGGAATAGAAGAAGGAGGCCTCAGAAAAGTGCAGATTACTAAAAAAGACACATAGATATGAACTCCCCTTTCATCTGGCATTTTTCAGACATTGCTAGCTCTCCGCATTTATTTGAAGAGTTGGGGGGAAGTATCCACAGCAGAAAAATGTGGGGGAGAAAACACACATAACCCCCCTATAACTGTTACTGTGTTGTCTTCAAAGTTATTGAGGAGAATAAGAACGATTTTCTCCAGAAGGTGATGAATACCTACCAAAAAAGCAGCACCGAGATCAGCACGTTGAATAGAGGAGAGAACAGTGGCATTTGCCCTCAGGAGTGTCCACTTCATCAACACCTGCCCACTCCCAGCATGTAAAACACACTGCACTTGTAGCAACAAAGTGTTATAGCAAACCTCAGGATATTATGAGGACAGAGGAATTTCATTTCACACTGCATCAGGGTGCATTAATTCAGATTTCTTCTCTATGAGCTTTACTTCTCATACCACAAGTGCTGTACCCAGCAAGTCCCCAGGGACCCTGGCCTCTCTAGCAGTTAATGATCCATTAGACAGCCACCTTGATGCAAACCAGAAGGTGGCTAATGCTCGAACAAAGTGGTCCTAAACTACAATAACAGACAACATTCAAGGATTACAGACACTATAAACCAGTAGCCATAGTTAATAACTGTAATATTTCATTAAAATGGCTAGAAATAATGCACACCAGATACCCAAACAATTACAGATGACCGCAATGGTATTAGAAAAGTTGCAATATAACACTGAATGAAAGCAAATTAAACATTTGCCACAGCACACTGAATGCGTCTTCTCAGCATAAACTCTTCCTAGTTGTTTCAACATCATAGACACAGAAAAATTCAATAAAGAACAGAAATTCACAGAAAAAGCTGATGGTATTATTAACAGTCAAAATAAACAGGCAGCATCTCTGAGAGTAGCAAAAAGACTTTTACTCTGTTTCTATGCAGCTCAGCCAATAAAACTCCCTTTATAACTTCCATTTGCTTACATTTTTCCTGAAGACTAGCACACAAGTAGCTATGTCATAAAATATACATCAAACTATGCATGGTTTAAAAATGTACCACAATCACTTAATTGTCCCTTCATGCCCCTTGCAAATTAATTTACAGATTTAGGACTAGAATAGTTTAAAAATTTATAATCTTAGTTTAAATATCAAAACAAATTATATTACTGAAGAATACTGTTGCATGGTTTGGGCAATGACCAGTATTGACAAGAGGGCAAAGAAGATCCTTTAAATTACAAAGCTACCTCTAATATACTGGTATTGCATAAGGTGTATATAGAAGTAAGGAAAAAAAGGGGAAAAAATAATATATTAGCTACTTAATTTATGTTAAAATTCATTATATAGCAAATTAAATTTAGTATTAATAACATGAAACAGAATTTTTCAGAAAGCTTTGTGTCTTGATAAATAAAAAGTATACCATGAGTGCCAATGCCCATTTATCAGAATTAGATTGCATTTTTACTGTTTTGTTGGATAGATTGTAGGAACTACATCCACTGAAAGCATAAAAACAAAGGAGGCCAAACAAAATCTAGTTGGAATAAAAGACTGGAAGTGTGATTTCCACAGAAGTTCTGTAAAGGACTATTTTACTGGCAATATAGTTAGCCTTTGGCAATGTGCCATATACCCAGAGAAACACAGGCCCTATTAAAAGCCTGTGACATGGTGCAAAAGAAGAGTTTTAACACACCCTAAAACATACAGATGGCAATGACAAAGATATTTACATTTTGAAAGAATGCTCCTGTAGTTTTGTAAAAACTGCAATCAATTTCATCACTGAAGGAGAAAGCTTGAGAAGATGAGGTTAAATTAATTTGGTTTCTTTTCTATCTGGTTTAGAATTTTTAATTTGTTTGTTGCTTTTCAGAGGTGCATGAATTGAGTACAGGATGAAGTGACTGCTAGCTAAGAAATGTGTCAAGATCTTGTGGCATAGCAGGCATTACTGCCTCCTGGGGCAGCCTGTTCCACTGCTGTGCCACTCTCAGTGTAAAGAACTTCTTCCCGATGTTGAGGCGGAACTTACTGTGTTTTAGTTTAGCCACTGTTCCTTGTCTTGATTCTGGACACCACTGAAAAGAGTCTGGCAGCCTCCCCCTGACAGTAATCTTTGAGATGTTTGTATGGGTTGATGAGATTCCCTCTCAGCCTCTCTTTCAGACTAAACAGGTGCAGCTCTCTCAGTCTCTCCTCAGAGAGATGCTCCAGTCCCATCTTTGTGGCCTCCGCTGGACCCTCTCCAGAAGCTCCTTGTCTTTTTTGTACCCAGAACTGGACATAGTATTTCCAGATGTGGCCTCGCTAGGGCTGAGAATACATATATTTATATATATACTTGTAGCAGTTACTGAACAACAAGCTGCAATGTGCTGCCCACCACAGCAACAAAGCAAGTCTGGCCTAAATACAACTTAGGTGTCAGAAACAGAAAGCTCTCATTGTCTTGACATGTCCAATAATCTGTCAAGATACTTACTCCGTTATTCGTCTCCTACCAAATCCTCTCCCCAAAAATCATGGTAAGAGTATCAAGGTCATTACACACCTGGTTTGAAGATATTCAAAGGTCTCAATCATTATGACTTCACTGGAGGTTAACGTTTGCTTTGTGCAAACCTAGAATCCAGCTTTCAGTTTAGTCTAGTTTTCTCCAAGTAGAGTCTAGTCTGCACGTGCTTCAACCAGCTTGTGGAACAGATCAGTGATCAGCAAGCAGGGACTTCTGAGGGATGTGCTTTCAAATTTCATTGCTGCCAAATAAAACCAATACCATAGATGCAGTTTCAGTTATGTCCAATCTACCCAAGAGAAAATGAACAGCAGCAGTTCCAGCAGAACACAGGAAGGCATCAGATATCCTGCTGAAATAACACATGGGGAAAGTTTATCACTACACCCTACAAGCAGTGTTTACCGAGTCAAATCAGATCCTACAGCTCCTAGTCCTGCAGGCTCCCAAGCCTTCCCTTCCAGGGGAAACCCTTTCACATACTCCATTATTCTCATCAACTGTTTATTGCTGTGCAATTACAGCACCCAGCCTCCAGGGCACAGAGTCTTCGGGAAGCAACAAGATACTGGGTTGTGTCCTCCAACCATGTTGGGGCAGGTGGGCTAAAAACCAGTAATCACAGCTTCAGAGTGTGAAAAGAAAGATGATTTTTTTTCCCCACCTATTACTGGAAAAATATTCTTCCTTAACTTAGGAAATAAGAATTAATAATTAATTTTCTTGTAAATCTACAATTTCAATGGTATTTGTAGGACTGATAATTCTCATACTTATCAATGCAAACCTCTGGGAACTTCAGAGATACTATGAAAAATCCAGTGATACTAATTTCTGGGGGAAGATTTTAATCATCTCCTCCAGGCAGTTTAAGATACTGCTCTACAGTCTGCACTGAAGCTGCACCCAGAATTGGAAATTCTTATAATTTAAGAAAACTGTATAATCTACTGTTGTAACAATCACTTTCATAAATGATCACCCAAACTGCTGATATTACTTTATACTGAAAGCCCACACATAATTTACAATCTCAGAATGAAAATCATACCTTTACAAAAAGGTGTGCCTACATGTGTTCCTATTTACTGTACTAGATAAAGAAAAAAAATAAGGAAGTATTTTGAAATCAACATGAGTATAGGATCAAAATTAAGTTTCAGCAACAAAGCCCTTACGCATTTTTTCAGTGACTGCCAGGACACTGCGGGTGTGTTTGCTGCCTAATTCTGATCTGCAAAGAGATCCACACTACAAGCTTGCCAAAGCTGCTTTTCTGAAGCAAATGCTCCTCAGTCAACTAAAATGCAGTATTTTAGGGCATGCAGCTCTTTTACCTGATGTTAATTTTTCCTAAACAATAAAGAGAATAGAGCTGTTTGGAACTGAAGCCAAAAGTGTCTCAGGACTGTCTCTATTTTCTAAAGCTTCACTGAGAGAAACCCCTTACTTGGTCCCAAATACTGAATTATTATGAACAGTTAGACACAGAGCTAAAAAGAAAATTAAAATAGTTAATAAATAAATACATAAATTTAAAAATTAAAAAAAAACAAAAAACCAAACAAACAAACAAAAACAAAACAAAAAACCACAACTTGTTTTCAGCTCAGTCTTCTTTTTATAATTTTCAACCAGTATCTGAATGCTAATATGACCTGTATGAATCTAAAGCTTTCTGAGGTTGGATAACATACCCTGTAACCATACCGGTGTTCAAAGACATTAATGGCAGGTGCCAAAACATTCCGTCATAAGCTGCCCAAATTTGATGAATTTTTTTCAGACCTCAGAACAATCCTCACGAGATAGAAAAAAGCTCCTTCCAAATTAAGGATGTTGCAACTCCAAAGAATTAAGGGGGAAACTATTTTACTTATCCTCAGTCCTTGGAACAGTTTCACTTGAGGTGAGGGGGGAAGAACAAGCAAAGTAAAGGGAAATTTGTTGCTGAATTTTTGAAAGATAACACCTCCTTTGTATTTCAGTAGTTAAAATATTTCAGTGCACAATTTCTCAAATTACTTTCACAAGAAAAAAAATCAAACAAAAAGAAAACCCGCAACTAGTCAGAAGCAGACCCTGTGAGCAACACCTCACTATTAACTTCCGAGATTCCATGCAGCTGACTTTCTTGATCCCACAACCTGTATCACATCCACACACACACCACATACACATTCCCCCCTTCCCTTAGGACTGTATACTCACATTGGATTTCTTCCTGCCAAAGGCATCTGCATCCTTCTTCTCTTAAAGTTTAACAAAACAAAGCCACCTTTTACTGGTTCCACTGAGGAAATGTCAAGTTCTAAAGTTACAGAGACCTCTAGAATGTGACAGGTCTCACAGCAAAAAAAATATTCCCTAAAAGCAATTGCCTACTGACTGGGGAGGAACAGTTTAACCAGAAGAAACATCTCTGTGCAACCTTGGTTGCATACACAATGAAATTATGAAAAGCTGGGGCTCTGGAATAAGAGCTTTGAAAGACATTTCATTCAAGCTAGCACACACCAGTAGGTTTTGGTTCAAAAAACCAAGTGCTGTAAAGAGATTATGCATATTTCCTTATTTTCCATGTCAGAAATATAATATAAAATTTTAAAATTAAACATTATTACACACAGGCCACAAAAAGCAGTGTCCTTTTTATAAAAGTAGAAAGCCTCCAGACATCCTTTATATTCTTTCCATGAGCACTGCTCAATAAATGTTACAACCCTGAAGCTTTTAAATGTAGTAGTGATGATATCATCATTTTAAAGGCACTTTAACAGAACATTAGGAGAAACAATTTCTTTTCTCAAAATCAAAATAACAGTAACCAAGTTGATTAGAAGTGATTTATACTAAAAAAATTCACACTATCTGCATTTACGGGCTTCTGTAGGTAAGAGTAGCAAACAATACCCAGAATTCTGAAATAACAAAAGAGCCCGATGAACTAATGTGGCAAAATAAACATTTCATTTAAGTTCCAAGAGATACATGCCAGGAAAGCACTATTTTTACATTACACTGAGTAAGAATAAATACTAAATAATAAATATTTGGAAGAATATAGTATTTCCACCTATTGCACTTAAAAGCTCAAAAACGTTTTCAATTCCATGCATAGAGCTGCTCTGAAAGCCACATTGAATATATTGCCTTTGTTTGTTTAGGTTATGCACAAATAAATATTGGGATGACAGTTAAAGACACATCCTTGAAGTAGTCTACCCAATAAATTTGGAAAGAGAAAGAAGAGGAGGAGGAATAAAAAATCCAGCTGTATAAGATTCTCTTTGTTGCCTGCTTGTTAAGGAATCCTTCTGGCACAACTGAGGGGATTATGAATTCACATGTGAATTTATCCCCTATTAAACTTTTAGTGAAAGGGTCAGTTGGCAGGAATGATAAAGCTCAAGCACACCAGTCACATGCTGGCAGAGCATCTGTGACTGGCTCTACTCAGGCATATCCCTGGTTTATAGCTTTAGCATAGAGAGGAAGCTACAGGGGCGGGCAGAAAACAGTCCACTTCTGAAAACACTGGAAATAGTTAAAACTACAGTTTCACATGAGACAGTGTGACTTCACGACTTCAGGTCACACTTTTTTTTTTTTTTTTTTTTTTTAAGAGAGCACCAAGGAGGACAGAGCAGGTTAAAATCTCCCATCCCATCTCACAGGCAAGGGCTCTCATAATCTCTTAGCACTTACATAGCACTTTGGCCACTCACATCTTCCTATTTTCCACTCCAACTCCATTTGCTGGGCTACCTCAGCTTCCAAGCAGCACTCCTGGTCCCACACATACCACTGCTGTACAGGTGGTAGTTAAAAATATACAGCAACTGTGCCAATGCTGAAGCCTGGTCAAAATTTACATTTACACATCACCTCAATATGTTCTACTTTATTTTTAAAATTTATACTTCTATTGCTACTATGCAATGTAGCAGAGAGAATAATCCTGTTTGCACCTTCCTGTGGTGGTGTTATTTCTACAAGAGATTTGATTCAAGCTTTTCGGGTGAAGAAAAAGGAAAAATACAAAGGCCAGCAACAATACAGCAGCTGCAGTCATGATGCAAGACTCACCTTTATGACAAGAGGTTCTGTGGAGCCAGTCTGTGCATTCTCACCAGTCACCATGTCCACTGTCAGGTGCCCTGTCACACAACTCGTCCTCCCAGGCTCTTCTTCAAAACTCTTGGGGCTTGAGCATTCTCTAGAGTCAAATGAACCTGACTTTTCCCTGATGCTCCCCAGCTGCAAGCCACACACGGAGCCGCTGTGCCAGGCCTGCAGGCTGGCTGAGCCCCACAGAAGGGATGTGCTGCTGCTGCAGCTCTGTCCTCAGGACCATGCTGGGAAATGTCTGCTCCCTTCCCCAGTGCGTGACTCAAAGAACCCAGCAGCACACTCCTCACTCGCCTGCACCTGCAGGACCTAATGGGTGCAATATTTTATGTTGAGACTTTCTGAAGTCTTGTTATTTCAGGAGTCAGTGGTAATAAGGCAGCCACATTACTTAGCAATCCATTTTAAATAGCCTATTAGTGAATTCTTTTGCATTTAGTGACATAAATAAAAAGATAATAACAAAATCCTGACCTTCAGAAAACTTCTATCAGGTTTGGAAGGAAGCATATTGTAAAACAGCCCTCTAGATATATTATATAGAAAAGTGAAGAGTTCCAAAAATTCTGATATAATACTTCATTTACCCATAAAGATAATGTGAAACTATTTTTCACAGTTATCCACAAAAGCTAGATAGTGAAAACTGGATCATACATATTGAAATTGCTTTGAGGTAAAAGAGAACAACTAGTTCAGATTAAATGTGCTTTCTGCTCACTCCCCACTCCAAGTAATCCAATTTTCTATAGTTATACATTGCTTTTTCTGCCCATTGTGGTTTGATCAAAAATATCCCTCAAAAAGGCTTCTTTATGCTACTGAGTCAGTTTTCAGTCTGCAGTAGAATTTACACAGCATCTATTTGGCAAGTAAGGATGAACAGCCCAACACTTTGGCCAAATATTTGTCTATGTATGTCCAGACTTCACTTTTGTACCGTTTTTAGCCATCATTCAAATTACTTCAGCCATTACTGGAAAGAAAAAATGAACTTAGTTACAACCAAATGGGTTACTAATTTATTTAGTTAACTTTTTCTTTCATATTTAACAGGAAGAATTTTTCTCATGTTTGACAGAACAGGCTTACTTAGTCATATTTTTCTCAACTCCTGTTTTTAATCTCTTCCAAATGGTAGATTTGACTGTGCTGTTGATGCATATGCAATTCCATATGATGCAACTGCATTGCACAACTTAACATATGAAAACAACCAAAGATCAGAACATTTAGCACCTGCAAAACAATCTTAAATTACTGTCTTTCACCAGATAATAAACTAAGTAAATGACAGCCATGCGCCATGCTAATAAACTAACTGCAGAGGACTGAAAAATGTGAAAACAATCTTTAAAAAGAAGTGGTTATTTAGAATAGTTTTAGGCTCCATAAGATGGGGCTTTTATATTTTTAAAGGACGATGTGCACCCTGTAAGACAATGAAATTTTGTACCAACTAATCATCAGATGACAATATTTTTGTATCATAATGAGGATACAACTAAAAAGTGCCTTCACAATTCCAGGCACTGCTCAACTGCTGTTTTTTTCACTCACACAAAAAGAAAGTGAATAGCCATTGAAATAATTTAAATATCTCCTTTTATAAAATATAAATAAATAAAGCAAGCTTTCTATTATACAGTTTGAGAATTTTTGTTGTCAGATTTTGTCTTTTTTTTTAATATTTAGAAAGAAGAGTACAATGAAGAAAAGCAAGTGGGTTTGCCATCAAAAGCATTCATTGCTCTGACACACAAACACCTGTCAGTGGAAAAAGTCTTCAACTTCTTCACTTCTCTTTACTATGAAGCAAACACGCATGAAGCTTTCAGACTATTTTCTTCCAGTGTTTTGAAGTACCTTTCAGTTCACATGAAGGCTAACAATTGCAAAGGAGCAGAAGAGAAGGAAAAACTGGCACAACGGAAAGACTGAGGAGCAGTGAAAGCCTCCCTGCTTATAGCTATTCTTTTGTTGAACACTCTTATGGCACACTCATTTTAAGTACAGCCAAAAAGATATATTAACAAACCCAGGAAAAATATTTCAAAAGTTTAATTCCTAATGTACATTTCTTCCTCTGCAAATATTTTCTTCCGAGTGAGAGTTACACATTAACAACACAAATCATGAAATATTTAATGAGCAACAGTAATAGAACACTATTTATATAAAGTTACAATTTACATGCAGGGTTTTTTGCATTTATATAGCAATCTCTAATTATCTTATTCAGCGTGAAACTGCAAAATAACTATAAGCAGACTAAGTCAGTTTCATAGTTAACACTATTACTGAAACAAGAAGCAACATTTTTAGAAAGTGTATGAAAAATGTTACAGATTATTTTGAAATTACTGTTGCACATGGCCACATAAATAGAATTAAGCTTGCTAATTTTGTATGAAAAAAATCCCCAAATATCTCTGTCTTTCACTGACCTAAATTAAAATCTTTACAAATTTCACATGATAAGAAAGAAGAAAACTTGCAAAAGCATCAAACCAGCAATCTTGTAACAGCAAAGCCTACTTCTTGTGGATTAGTAAACCCTCACTTATATCTGATAAATCAGTTCTTCCTCCAGCTCTCATTGCTTAGCCTCCCCTATCAATCCAGGGATACCTTTTCTCTGAAACAATTACACTTGAGGAGTTTTGAACTTCTGGTGCAGACTAATCCATTTAACTACAGAAGCACCTTTCAAGCTTCCATTTGACACAAGTCCATCGTTCATCATTTGCTGGTGCATATGCTTTTTGCTGACAGAGCTCCATTACTAGAAAAAGCTCAGTAAGTAAAGCTGATTTGAAACAACTATATATTATAGATAGCCTGCATGAGACACGCTGATTTTGAGTCTAGAAAATCACCACATAAAAAAGGAAGGGGGGAGGGGTGGCTGAAAAGAACTATTTAATTATTAATATACTTTCACTTCTTACCAACTGCTGCAATGTGATTTATTAGCGTTAATTTGCAATTTACTTGGGGCATGGGAAGAGAAATTTAACTCCATATAGCAAGGTACATAACATGCTATGGAATTTTTGGACCAGAAATGTTTTTGCCTTTGATTTATAATAAAACACAGCACCAATGCTATCACAGATCCCTACCAACCTTAGCATGTTGTAATATCATCAAGCTGGAAATCAATATGCTGAACCATAAATTCTGCAGCACAATACATATTTGATTCTATTTTTTGACCAGTGACATAATTTAGGTAACATTAACAAGGCATTTCTGTAGTATATTTGGCAATAGTAAGTGATTTACCAATATGCATTAAGGTTCAGCATTTGGTGTGGTTTAGTGTTTCAGCCTCTATTTTACAGATGCAAGCACAGGGCAAAGAGGGGGTAAGTAATGTACTCAACATCCACATTTTCTTATTCATCACTTTGGCTAATAAACCTTATGGCTACTGGGGGTGGGTATAAGAAGGTATCACCAATTTGTCTGTGCTCACTCAACCATTAGATTTTTTTTTTGAGAGAGAGAGTCAAACCACTAAAAAAATAAAAAAAAAAAATAAAAATAGCGAGTATGGTAACAAGAGCTAGTAGCAAAGTAAAGGGTCTATCAATGAAGTACAATTAGCCTTCACAAAGTTCCTTTCAGGCTTCATCAAAAAAAGCACTTCCATGAAACCAAGAAGGTACATGCTCAGCATGAATGTCCAGTAATAGTTATATCACTGCTTTTCCAAGTGCCTTGCTTTAAAAAGGGATAGTCACCTTCCCTAACATTCAGAAATGTTGGGCCAATCTTCTGGGGAAAGAGTAAAGAAGCAGCTGAAATTATGACAGGTTTTAGGATCTATCTTTAAGGTATAGCCAGATAAGGCCTTTTTTAGCAACCAATATTCTTTTCACTGACTGGAATGAAAAAAGAAGTTAAAAATGGGAACAGAGATACAGTTTGTTGGATCCTTGAACTGGAATTAACTTCTATGCTTCAGTTTGAGAGAATGGGATTTGTAAATCCTACCTAGATTACAAATTTTTGTACATTATAGAGAAAGTTTTTGATTTTCAGTTTGTAAGCATAATACAAAGAGCAACACATGGAAGTAACAATCAGAAAACATCGTTGGGATAAAAATCAGTATCTTGATACTTCATGATTTCTTACACATTTGACTTCTTTGTTCCAACAGATTTGTTTGTGACACCAGTTACTTTAATCAATAGGAAGTATTCAGGCTGCTTATGATGAGTTCCTTATGTAGACATTGTGAACACTTCTCCCAGAAGATTCCATAGGAAGCCAAGACTGGAACCTGGTGTCCTCTTTTCCCTCTTCAGCCTAGATGTTAAAGAAGCTACCTCAGACTTCTTTGCATGTCATACAAGCAGCACAAACATGCCTGAGACAGTTTGCAAAAAGACAGGGCAAATTTCTCTGGTTTTTTTTACAGCATGCTTGATACACCACAATAGCAAAGATGGAACTTTCTTGTATACCTTAAGGAAATTCACATTTATGCATACAAAAACAATCTCCAAATTCAGGGCAAGAAATTTGTCTCATTACCTCCTTACCTCCCATACCAGAACTCCCAGTGACCATGCCCAATTTCAGAGTATTAAGTTCAAAATAAAATGAGAGTCCTGTTCCACACATTTTTTCCCTATTATCACCTAAGGAAATGAAGAGACAGGGAAAGTGCCATGTGCACTTTACAGATGTGCTTTTTAATAGCTAATGTGATAACCTAACTTAACTAAAACCACAGCATTATCTCCAATTGGAAGGAAATATAATCCCCTTCTCCTCTATTTCCTTACCCAACCAGAAACACAACCTTTCTGTTTAAAGGGAAAAGTTGGTACACTGACACATAGAAAATGAAGTTTACTGATTTACAGGTATCTCATTTAGAATAATTTTTAGTATATTTTAATGAGAGGTAGAAAGCATATGAGCTGCAGGTAGAAAAAAACCAACAGGAGTGGACAGCAACAAAAAACTGAAGAGAGCTCAGATGATCAGATTAACACAGGGACAGACAGTAACATTTCTGAGGCAATTAGAAGGGAAAACACCACCCCTTCAACAGGGACAAAATCAGTGTTTTCCAAAGCCACAGCGATTGCCCAATTATCCCTCCCTTCTCCTCTGTTTGAGCATCAATTTCAGAGTAGTACAAGAAAACCAGGTTAACATGATCTGAGGAAGATTAAGAAGAGTTTAAAATGCTCACTTTTATAAATCTTTATTTTAGTGAACACGAAATGTAAGCAAGACAACAGCTGCTACCAAAGTTCATTCTATTTCCAAAGATACAGTAAATGCTTAAGAGTTTAATATCTATTTTGATCCTAACTATCATTTTTATATTTTTTTCATAGCTCTAGAACACAAGCACTTAAAATCTGACCTTCAGTGTTATTCTAATTATATATTCCATATATAGGCTGGATATTAAGTTGTACAGTTGAATAATTATATTATTTTCTAAAGAGTCTATCTTACTTAAATAATTTATAAAATATCATGATTCCATCAAGGATGTATCTGTACTTACTGGGAAACATAATGAAGAAAAACAATACAGAAAGTCAACCCAGACAAGTTTTAAACAGCACCATAGCACTCTATAAAAGAAAAGGTCATTTCCTCACTACTGCTTCTGCACTCTTAGAAGTTTGAATGAGCTACACATCCTATAGTAGCTGTTCAACTCTCTGATATTCACATTTTCTGAAAAAATAAAAGTCTTCTGCCAACTACTGACTACATACATAATTATTTACCCTCAGAAGAACGTCTAAAATCTATAACAACTATACACTATTTCAGAAAATACACTATTTCCAAAGAATAAAAATAAGTTTTCAAAACTTTTTTGTGTGCACATTTGATGTCATGTTTTGCTAAGGAAACAGTTCTCACTGAACAATCCTTCAAGTCACACAAGAAATGTTTACCCTACACATCATTGCCAAAATTGAACTCTGAAGTTCTAAAATGCAAAATATTTATCCTTTATTAAAGCAAACAAGTTTTAGAACTCCAGGAGACAATTTAGAGATGATCCATCCTGCATTTCACCACTCATACCTACTAAAAATGGGAGAGTGAAGTACAACATGCTCACATCTGACAAAGACTGGACCTAAACCTACAGCATGTTGATTTTTGCAGCCATCGAAATCCTTGCTTAAACAAAGGTTCTTTCTGTTGCTGTGCATTTTAGGCTGATTCAAAAAATGAAATTATTACAGGCCCTATTTTGCTACAAACTGAGAACGTGCACATTCTTTAGCAGATTACTCACAAGCATGGTCAGGAGTAATGCATATAAAAGGGCTAATGGCAATGCTACTCATTTTTTATTTACTACACAAATAGAGCAAACTAAAAATGAACATAAGGTCCTGCAGGGCAAACTCTGTGTTCTGTAGATATAAAAACATTGCTCATTAAGGAAAAAATCAGATGCAGTGATACATTAGAGAACAGTTAAGTGTGTAAAGAATGGAAACATACATCAAAATACAACTATTTCATCTTTTCTACGAAAAATCAACAGTGATACTGATGTTATGAGTCTCCTATTTTTCTTTTAGTAGGTTTCAACACTAAATTATTAACAGTGGACCACTCTACATCAGTCAAAAAGACTGAACACAAGACCTTTTGCCTGAGGTTAGACTCTGAGACACTCCAATCAGCACATTTAAACTCTTAAATATGATGTTGCCTTCAGTATTTTTTCTATCTAGCCTCAAGAACAATTTATGAGCTTATGAGAGACAGATGCCCAGAGAGAAAAAATTGACCTGTCTTTTTCACAGGACGTGCAAACTTCAAGAACCTTGAACCTTTCTAATCCATCAACAAATACTTGTTTTCAGTGGCCAGATGGGTATTTGTAAAATAAAAATAAAAGCCACATACAATATCAAGGCTAACAGCTCAACAATGGGACAGAATTCCATGAGAATGCCTAGATGAATCAGAATATGTGTAAATACCTGCATGTGCATATTCACACAAGCAACAGAGGGAGAATACATGGAACAGAAATAGCATCAGCATTACAATGAAACCTCTCCAATGGAGAGTTTACCCACTTTGTTACAATAATAAAGTAGCACAATTGGGATTAAATTAAAATTTAATTTTAAATTAAAAATATTTTTTAGAAATATTTTTACAAGGAAAAATGTTTGCTTCAAAAAAGATATCAGAGACTACAATGCTAAAGATTTTCATTAGTTAACTTTTTATAATGGCTGCTTATGTGCTAATTTAAATGCTTCTCTTGAAAATTATATTGTTCATTATGAAGATACAGAATCTCTAGTTTAACCAGAACAGCTAGAAATGTGGAATATAGAGTTAAAGCTTTATTTTCTACATAGTAACAATGGTAAAATATATTTGCATATTTCAAAAGGTCACAGCCTACTTTCACTACAAACTGTACATATTGATAAATCCCAGCTCCGGACAGAGGTCAGCAAAGCATGTTTGACTGACTTCTACATACTTCATCTGTCTCCATGTGTACCCAAGAACTGAATACTGGAGTGTATGCACATCTACAAAGAAGCAGTGATCTACCAGGCTTCAACATTTTTTACCTAGGAGAAAGCAATCCCTGAAGTAGAGATGCAATATGTACTCTAAGCATCAGAGCTCTCTACCTGATGAAGAGGTTGTCAGGACTGAAGGGAAATTTATATGCTTAAATTACCACAACTGCAATAGAATTATCATATCTTTTAATCCTTAACACTAGACCGTTCACAAAATATCAAATAGTTTTTCAGGGAGTTGCTCTCTTTTTCTTTCATGTAGTTTCCCCTATAGCAGGTAACTCAAGGACATGCCAACCCCAAATATCTACTTCATGCCGGTAAATTACAAGGAGGAATACACCTTGACTGCTTGTAGTTTTAACACTTACTTAAGAAACAAAATAAGTGGAGAAGACGAGATCACATTGAGTTACAACTTTGTAGTATAAACAGCAGTACCATAAGTCCCAAAATACTCATACAGGTGCAGTATCATAAATACATGCTTATTAAAACACTGTCACAGTTCAGCATATGAAGATCATTATACCTTTTCTAGTTTAATACAAGTTACATTCATATCCAAAGATTATTGAATAGCTTAAAATCTAAGCTTTGCCAGACTGGAAGGCTGAGTTGGTTCAAATGAGCATTGTTTGCTGACTGCTGCTAACTAAGATTTTAATCTCGTTTGAAAATCTTTTGGTCTGAGAGAAAGACACAAAAGATATTTCTTTAAACTGAAGTGAGCTCCCCTCTGAACCAACAGCAATTTGGCAAGGAAGATGAGCTGGCACATCAGAACACACTATTACTTCGTGAAGACCAGTAGCTTCTCTGTAAAAATATGCAAGGCCCTAATGTACTTTGACAAATGACAAAGGTTATTAAAGGACAGCTTGTGGGAGTATAATTGCTTTGTGACTTGATCACTCTTAACAGAAAGAACATCAGTAGAGAGTTAACTGCATGAAACATGAGTACAGGAATTCACCAAGATCTTGACTCAGCAAAGCACACGAGGACATTAATTCCACTCCTGTATTACAAAACAATTAAGAACATGGTTAAGTGCATGCTATATGACTGTCACTTAACTGGAGAAAAAAACAGCCATCTTTTCAGGGGACATGACAGTCTACATCATAGTACACACAGATATATACTATATAGATAATTAGTACTGCTATGCCAGTATATATTTCTATAAATAATGAAAGAACCCTTACCAACTTTGCTGTAGTCTTTATACAGTTTATGTTGAATAACTTACAAGATGACTGAAAGTTTGCAAGGACTCCATCTTCAAAGTTCTGCCCAGAACATCCAGGGTCTCCCTCCCCGACCCCAAAAGTCCAACATTTTCTGCATGCATCAGTTTCTCCATGTTTCTCAAAAATACTTACCAAAGCTGAGGTGTAAGTCAATTTATATTACAGGAGTTTAATGGTTTCAAAATAGAAGAAGGAGGAATACCAGAGAGAAATCTGACAAGGTTAAAAGGAAACTGGGGAGAGGTTGAAGCCTAACACATATTAAATAAAAATCAATCATAAAGACGTTTCAAGAATTACAAAGTAAGATACAGCAAACCACTGCTCAAAGTGAGGGGAAATGAGGGATAGGACTCCAAATCACATGGCAGCATTTGCTTTGTACAGAAATAAGATACATTATAAGATATGTTAACATAATACATAATAAGATATATTAACTCTTAACTTCCTGCAAAGCACTGACTCAGAGCAAAGGTAGGGCAAGAGATTCAATGCACTGCATAGAACAAACTCAATTCACCATGAGCCAGAAGCCCCTGCCTTGCTCAGGGACAACACTTCCACATACCAGTAAGGCTCCAGATTTTGCTTTTGTGGGGACAGCTGCACCTTCCTTCTTATATTTTTGCAGTAGCAAAACACTTCATACAAACTCATGGGAAGCATCTTGCCTGACACAACACAGAACTACCAAGTTTCAAACTATTTTCTAAAAAGGCTGTGTGCCACTGCAAGCCTTGCCCCTCATTCACACAACAGCATTAGCTGGAAAGAAAAATGCACACGTGATGTATTCAGAAGGGTATATAAGAGAAAAAAATGTTTAAATACTTACTTTATATAAAAGGTCCAAGCTACACAACAAGGAAACAAAAATTCAAAAAAGAAAGGATTGATCATTTGGAACAGCCATCAGTCAGCTTTGTACCATTGGCACAATGGTTGTACCCATTGATTTGAGGGTTTCTTAGCACAGATGTATTGTACAAACATCTATTTTTATGCTACTTTTCTTTGAGTAAAAAAGGATGCACTAGGTCCTCAGACACTAAGCAGAGTGCAGTTGGCTATTATCCACTCTGGAAGGATTAAGCAGCATTTATTAAGTGCCAATTTAGACATCACTACAATTGGTTCTGTGTATTTTTTATTTCCTTGAAGTTAAGAATTACAACAAATTGAAATAACTTAATTAAACAGTTGTAAAAGTCCATATTTTACCTAACTTCAAAGGAAAAGCTTTTACAGGGTTTACATCCCTCTCTTGGAATCATTTGCATTCCCAGCAGCCAAGAGATGCTCAGTGTCCCAGCTCCCCCAGTGTCTCAGCCAAGATACTGGATTTTGGACTGAGAATCTTGCTGATGTGACAGTCTAAAACTTACACTAAGTCATCACATCTCTCCAGCCACTCACATAACTAACTTCACCTCCTTTTCAGCCTTACTGCCTAGAATTATCTGTAAAACTAGTATAATCTACCTAACTTATCCAGTTAGGTTTCTTTTTTAACTGATTCAATGTTGGAATACCGTCTATATTTTATTCACCTGCTTTCTTCTCTGCTGCTGCAGATAACATCATCTCAACAAATACTGTGACTGGTCATATCCACAGTGTTTTATAGTCAAAGTTCAATTTAACTAAGTCAGATGTTCACAAACGGAATACTATTTAAAAACTTTTAAGTAGACCAAACACAACTTTAGTAGATGCTGCTGCTACAGTTTCTCAGCAAAGAAAACTTACTACCTCTAAATAAAATTTGCAATGAAATGTGGGAGCCAGAAAATCAGTATCAATACTGCTATAGCTGGGTATGGCCTCTAGCCTCACAGCAGAGATTATTCTTGCGTTACATCAACTCAAATGAAGCAGCTATGCTTAAGGACTGAAGAAAATTTGTTTAACAACCATTTGCAGCTAGCATCAATATTAAGATCCCTAAAGACAGACAAAGTAGAAAAGGAAAAGTAGGGGTGGGGCAGCAGTGATAGAGGCAAGAAAAGTCTGAAACAATACTCCTTCAAGAACAATTCACTGATTCTTTATTTCAAAACAATGAAAAAAACTACCTTTCACAGAACAGATTTGCTTGGATAATATATGATGTTAGCAAAAATCATATTTTCATCTTCTGTTAGTACCAGCAGTTTTCTTGGACTTCTCTGAAGGAGGGCAGGAAGACAAAAAATTAAAATAATAATAATTTTTAAAAAGAAGGGCCAAAACCATCTTCCAGCTTTGACAGAAGAGAGTCATTTTTGTTCCTAAGACATTTGTCTTCATGTAACCCACTAGCACCCTCCTGTAGGAGTCATGCAATGAGAAAGCATCACAAAGGGTTATCAAAATGCAAAGCCAAGTTTCAATATCAACTTTCTACCCTTTCCAAACATGAACTTCCTTTGTTGTAATCTTATTTCCTCTTCAGTGAAGTAAATTAATACTTGTTCACATTTAGAATAAGAATTAATGTCATCTATGCCAGGATACTGAGACCATTCAACAGTAGGATAGCACTGTGTGACGGAAATCATGAACTAAGTCACATGTTAATAACAAAGACAAGCATTCAAGTTTTTATTCTGATTACAATTCTCCACAATGATCTCAGATTATTACACAGAAATTGTTTTATAGGACTATGATGGTTGAGGAAGGATTCATAAGCAACAAGAAGAAAACAGAAAAAAGCCCTTAACATAAGGATTAAGTTTAATACACTTTAAGACTTTTATTTTTGATAGGGCTTATGAATTATAGTAAAGACCATAGTATTTCCTTCCTTCTCTACAGATATATAAAACATACTTCATTTGTGTGCTTATGCAATATAATTCCTGAGCCTCCTAGTTTAAAGTTCATGACCATAACAAGCACTTCTATTATATTAGACCTATCAGTTTTAACAAGGACAGAATAGTAACATTCTAATTTTCCCTCTGTAGTTTCCAAGCATGACTCCTCTGACACAGCAAACAGACAGCAAATGCACGATAAACAATAACATGTATTTGTGAAGAAGCTCCACCCTGATGAACTGAAAGCAATAACTGTCCCATTTAATTAAAGAAGAAATTCAGTTATGTGCTGTAGAAACATATGGTTGGTAGGCACTATATTATCATGTGAGATAAGATACCTGGAAGCAGAGGAAACATTTTGCAGTCACACAGAACAGAAGAATTTGTGGAAATAAAGTGGAAGTCATCACAACTGTCCATCACTGGGTCATCCAAGGTAGCAGTCGGGCAGCACAGGAGTGATTTGAGAAGAACTGAGTACAGAGCAATCAGAAAGGTTAGCAAAGTAGAGCAGCACAGAAGTTCCCTGTGTTTCCAAATCAATATACTATCATAAAACATATCAAACCAAACAAGTGAAATACCCACCCTGCACACTTCCAGTATCCCAGCATTCTGGTAGGAGCAACAAAGCCTGTTAGAAGTGATGGCACAGGACAAAACCTATACATCAGGAGATCTCAAACTATCAAAGAAATATATAATAGAGCAAAACCTGTTCTGAAAGCTATTCAAAACTCAAGACTGTCGTTAGTTTATGATTGAAATTTATATGTTGAAATTTCTCTGGCCTTAGGTTTCATTTTTCAAACATCCAAGGAAAAATAGAAACATTAGGCTCACATTAAATGGATCCTCCACTAAGAAAAACATCTTTATGAAAGGAAGATAAATATAAATTACATATAGGCTGGATGTAATAAAGTTACATAGGCATTTTTTGTGACTTGTGATCAGTTATGAGTTTTAGGCTTAAACTAGACAAGCTTAAATCAGAACAGTAAACATTGCTGCTTTTAAATGTTAACTTGGATGACACCATGAAGCCACTAGGTAGATCCCTTACAACTACTGGATGCATCCATGCATCTGCATCCATACTCGGCTCAGAGAATTTCTAAGGAATCATAAACAGTTTCCACACCAAAACAAAATCCACTGAGAATACACATAAGATGAAACTATTCCTGAAACTTACCATCCAAGACACTTCCAAAAATTCTGCAAGTGACAAATCATCAGTAAGGCTGTACATCCTTACACATTTCACCAGAAGGCCTACATTCAACTTCACTGAAATTCCATCTTCAAGATCTGTTTCCTCTCCCAATAGGAATGTTTCCAACACCCAACTTGAAAGCTTCTGCTATTGTGTCTTGTATTTCAGAGACAACATGCTTAGGGTTTTTTAATAATAATTTCAGTTTAAAACAACTTTGAGATTCTTAACAAGAAGTCATCTAAAGGATGTCTGGAAGCATTAGGCAGGAAAAGAACCTGCTAACCACCACTGAGAATACTACTGAAAAATATACTCCCAGAAATAAGAAACCACAGCTAAGGAAAATTAGTATAAGCAGGGGGATCTTGCTCTAAAGAGTTATTCTTACAAAATTGCCCAGGTTTGTTCATGCAGCTACCAAGATGTGGACAATGAACTTGCTCAAAGTAGCCTATGCAAATTTGAAGACTACTTTATTTGTTATATTAGTTGCATGCAGATGTGGATATAACTTTGAAAACTCATAATATTTTCACAAAAACAGGAAGAGACAAACTAAAATCTGTGATGATTAGTACTCCTGAGTACTATCAAACAAATTACTTCAACAGTTACTATTTCAATAGTTAGAAGGCAAGTTCAGAGTTGCAAACATCAGCATATACATTTAAAAATATTTATGAGGAAGATGGATATGGAAAGAGTGCAAGATCTGATGATAGAAAACTGTTTTGCAGCACTCCAATGAAGTATTGCAGTACTTGGAAAAATAAACTTTTGTTTTTAAATAATCCCTCTCAATAATTCTAAAATAATAGCACAAAATGTTTGCAAAAGAAGCAAAGCAGAACTCAGTACTCTGGATTGAAACATTAATCTCTGTTAATATAAAAAAAGAAATGGTGTATAATCAGATTCTATCTGAAATCTCACCCAGATATAGAAAAATAGTGACTATAGGTAATTTGTTATTAAAACAGTTTTAAGAGCACTCTAGCGGCCAAGGATTTTCAAAGAAAAATTAAAGCCAAACAGTAAGAATAAAGCTTCAAATTCTGTTTACACACTGATTGTACAGGAGGGGGGGAAAAAAAGAGTGAATTACATATCTGAGAGCAGTGTTTCATTAAAGTAATTGTAGTCTCAGACTACTGTCTTCTTCTCTGCTGAAATATAATCTGAAGCAGAAAAAGAAACTCAAACTAGCACAAGTGAAGCTTTTATAGGTCACATGGGATGCCTGCTGCCATGCACCAGATGTGAGTAGGAAAAAGAAAGTGGTCAACATATGATATTAAAAACCAGTGCAGTTCCAAATATTTTAAACATGATGTCAAGTGCATTCAACAGGTCTACAAATGCACTACATTAGCCTAAATTTAGTAGGTGATAATTGAAATCAGAGATCCAGTCATTACCACTGACATGTTTCTAAATACTACCCAATAAATTTTTGTCTGTTTCAGATTCTGTATGACAGCTGGCAGTCAGGAGGGGAATCACCCAGAGGGTATGAGCACACACACACACAGGAATTTGACTACAGAAATGTTGTATCTTCCCTTTCTAGAGCTAATTTAACAGTGACAATACTGTCATACAAACACACGCTCCCAAAGCAGAATTCCGCAAGCTGAATGTTTTTTCCAGCCTCTTCATGGCATCTTCCTGTAAGCACTGGGTATGAAACAGGAGAGAAACTTAACCAACTCAAATTGTATGTCCTGCATATGAATTTTCATGACAAAATTAATTCAGTTCTGTTAGAGAGACCGATCTGGTATTACTACTTATCCTTCCGATTATCTCTTATTTTTTAGTTAGAGAAGGAAGGAAGTCCATCAACAATAGAAGATACAATCTTAGTCCACAACTTTTTTGCTCTTACCTTTGTCATATCTATAATAATATATCATTTAACCAAAAGAAAACAAAAATGTCTTCTAAGTCTATAGTGCATCTTTCTTTTCAGTCTCTGATGTATCACCACATTCTGATACATTCACTATCAGATAACAAAAAGTGCAGCCAAGTAACACGTGAGAATAAACTATCTCTAGGATCACTTCAGATTTGGTAAGTGGACAGGTGTCAGCCATCACTTGTCCTCCCATGCAGAAGTGATTTATGCAAATTGGTATGAAGAGCTGATAATAATATTTGGCATGTATAGTTAATCAACAAGGGCTCCTCACAACTCGGTTCTGCCATCTGTAAAATGGAGGCAGTGATGCCTTTCCACTTCTCAGAGGAAACTGAACTTCAAAGCCCATGATGAAAACCAGCCTGAGAAGACATGCCAGGCAATTTAGATACCAACTACATGGCTTTTGACTGGAAATTTAAACATCTACTTGGAGCCAATGAAGGCTGGAAATGAAGGAACAAAGCTTTCACTAAAAGCTTACAGGTATCCCAGGCTCACAAGCCTTTGCATACAAGCAGAAAACACTTCTTAGTTTTCATAGATTATAATATTTTAAAATATTGTCCAGCAAAATTAATTCCAAAGATATTTGAAAGTACCAGCTTTTTAAATGAAAAAAGAAAAAAAAAGTAGGCCTTGAAGAGAAAAACCACCTTCTCTCTTAGTATTGTTTTTATAGAAAATCTATTTAGAGAGCAGTAATATTTCTATCCAAATACTTTAAAAAATGGAAGATGTATGCTACTCATCTTAGCTTTTTAGACCCTAAGACACAGAAGACTCATAAAATTACTAGCACCTATTAGAAGTATTAAACTGTGTTACTGGTCTCAATAATTAAAACTAAATTGACGATCGACATTAACCATGGACTGAAGTGAAAGAGCCAGGAGATATTTGGAGATAAACAGAGCAGTCAAAGACAAAAAAAAATTGAGAGCCCCACATTAGATGGTGGGAAGAGGAAAAAGAATATCAGTTTTATACATTTTCTGCTACTCAATTAGTTGCCAGAAGCAAGTTAAAAAAAAAATGAAAAAAAGAAAACACAAATCCTACAAAGCTATGGATGACAATTCTACCTATAGCATCATAATTCAGAAAGTCTCAGATTAACCATATTGACAGCTCTACTTCGAATGCAAAACCCAAGTAACTTTAAAATTAAGTCTTTTAATGAATTGTTGTTCAGAGATATCTGTCTTGAAACTC